GGAAAACGAGAACCGGTGTTTCAGCGTGATTTGACCGTAAGCATCGTAGAGCCAGGTCAGTACTTAGATGGGGGATCGCTTGGGAACACCTGGTACTGTAAGCCCCCAAAGTCCAACCCTTACCTCACAGTCGGTGGTGGGGGTGTAAACGGTAGTGTCAGAGCTATGCCGCCCGGAACTTCGTTCCTGGTAGGGCCACCCAAGGCGGACAGGTCTGACATACACGCAGGCTAACAAAGGCTCTGGTGAAAATCCAAGGAGGGTCTGTATCGGTAACCGGCGGCTTCTGGTCGTTCCTGTCTCTGCGTCTGTGGGAACCCCGCGGCAAGCAAGAACGTTATCAGAGTAGGCCTGGGTACCCTACTTCTGTAATTTATCCCAAGAATCTTCTTCTCATAACAGGAAGAAGCCGGCTCAATCCGCCCAGGGTGAATGCCGCTTAAAAAAAAAAAAAAAAAAAAAAAAAAAAAAAAAACTCTGGGAAAACGGACTAGCAATAACTGGAGAGTACGAAGTAAAAATACGAAATAGCGGAGATATCTCTAGACATGAAAGAGAATAATCTATTCACGGAGATTAAATACAGCGTTCAATTCGGAATTTCCTGTAGTTTAACCAGATATCCATAAACACCTGAGGAGGACCGGAAGGCACACCGGCCGAAACTTTGTGTTAACAAAAAAGAGGGCAATAATCCTAATATAAATCGTGCAAATAGGCCCTGCCTTGTTAAACATTTTCTTGGCTATTAAAACAAACCGTTCACTTCGGCCGAACAAGGGACTGTGTAACTTAGTCTCACAGGAAGGTATTAATGATGAGTTTTATGAATTTTGAAATGAAAGTTCGAAAAGTGCCTTTTCACGAGAACGTCGGCAAAGCCTACCCGAAAGAAAATTATCGGACTATTATTTTTCTTTTTTCATACCTGAACTCAACTATTCAGCCACTTTGAAAACAAAATCAATGGCTAGATCGATAGATATGAAGCGGAGAAAGAACACAGAATTCCTAAGATAATCGCACTGAAATTAAAATTTGAGGGTTAGAGAAAAATATATACTACTACTACTAATAACAATTTCAAGGAAGAGGAGAGAGAGGAGAGCAGAGAAGAAGAAAAAGAGAGAGAAGAGGAAGGAAAGAGGAAGGGAAGAGAGAGAAGAGGAAGGAAAGAGGAAGAAAAGAGAGAGAAGAGGAAGGAAAGAGGAAGGAAAGAGAGAGAAGAGGAAGGAAAGAGGAAGGAAAGAGAGAGAAGAGGAAGGAAAGAGGAAGGAAAGAGAGAGAAGAGGAAGGAAAGAGGAAGGGAAGAGAGAGAAGAGGAAGGAAAGAGGAAGGGAAGAGAGAGAAGAGGAAGGAAAGAGGGGGGAAGGAGAGAAGAGGAAGGGGAGAGAGAGGAGAGAGAGAGAAGGGGAAGGAGAGAGAGGGGAAGGAGAGAAGGGGAAGGAGAGAAAGGGGAAGGAGAGAGAGAAGGGAAGGAGAGTGAAGGGGAAGGAGAGAGAGAAGGGGAGGGAGAGGAAGGGGAAGGGAGAGAGAAGGGGAAGGAGAGAGAGGGAAGGAGAGAGAGTGAAGGGGAAGGAGAGTGAAGGGGAAGGAGAGAGAAGGGGAAGGAGGGAAAGGAGAGGAGAGAAGGGGAAGGAGAGAGAGAGACAAAGAAATTCAGAGCAGATTTATACGTAGACTTTATTGAATTTAGATTCGAGGATATGAAAGTGAATTTTAGGTCGTATATATTTGAAATAGAATTCGACATTCAATTTGTTCAGTAATGTCGCTGCCTTTCGATGAGTTAACGGAATTTCTAGAGTGCTCGCGGAATTCTGCCGAATAATCTCAGCTACGAGATAAATTTACAAATTACTTTTGTCTTGGTGATTTTTATGAGAATAAAACAAGTTGGCTAGAGAGATACGGGGAAAAGAGAATGAAGAAGTAAAGCATGGAATACAGTCAACGGCGGTCGTCATTCTGACCAGCGAGTGAGACCATTTCTGAAAGTGCACTTAGTACAGAACCGTATATCTGACCCTGAGGAGTGGTCGAAACCACAACCTTAAAGTCCATCGCAAAGACAAGTCCTCTGAAATTTCTTTAGTCACACACACTCACATACACGTGTGTGTTGGTGTGCATAATAAATACTTGAATTAGTTTGAAATGAAGATTAATTAGTTAGGCTGGAATAACGATCGCCTATTTTTACATATTGCATTTGTTTTGTTGAACTATTCTCGTTTTATTAATGTATTTAATGGTTGAACTGTCTGACCAAATAAACAACCCCACCAAAACAAAACAACAAAAAAACAAGCAAAAACAAAAAAAAACAAAACAAACAAAAAAAAAAACAAAACAAAAAAAAAAAAAAAACAAAAAAAAAAAAAAAAAAAAAAAAAAAACAAAAAAAAAAAAAAAAAAAAAAAAAAAAACAAAAAAAAAAAAAAAAAAAAAACAAAAAAAAAAAAAAAAAAAAAAAAAAAAAAAAAACAAAAAAAAAAAAAAAAACAAAAAAAAAAAAAAAAAACAAAAAAAAAAAAAAAAAAAAAAAAAAAAAAAAAAAAAAAAAAAAAAAAAAAAAAAAAACAAAAAAAAAAAAAAAAAACAAAAAAAAACAAAAAAAAAAACAAAAAAAAAAAAACAAAACAAAAAAAAAAAAAAACAAAACAAAAAAAACAAAAAAAAAAAAAAAAAAAAAAAAAAAAAAAAAACAAAAAAAAACAAAAAAACAAAATGAAAACAAAAAAAACAAAACAAAAAAAACAAAAAACAAAAACAACCTCCCCAAAAAACCAATCAAACAAACAAAAAACCCAAACAAACAAAAAAACCCCAAACAAACAAAAAAACCCCCAAACAAACAAAAAAAAACCCCAAACAAACAAAAAAAAACCCAAACAAACAAAAAAAACCCAAACAAACAAACAACAAACAAAACCAAAAAACAAACAAAAAAACATCAAACAAAAAAACAAACAAACAAAAAAAACAAACAAACAATAAAACAAAAAATAAAAACAAACAAACAAACAAACAAAAAACAAAAAAACAAACCAAAAACCAAAAAAGCAAACAAAAAAAACAAAAACAACAAGGAATCCTGGTCAGCAACTACAGACCAATGACATACCTACTCTATCTGTAAAATGCTGTTTGTCCAAATATTATAGGCAATCTAGCACTCGGTGAAAGCAGAAGACTTCAGAGTCAAATCTAGATATTTGGGAACAATTCTCAGTCAGAGACCATTCGGGTCGACTGGGTTACCTGAAGTAATTTTTAATTCAGTCCCTGCAAGCTGTCACCATATCATGCACATTAGGTTGCCATATATGTGCCTTCTATACCCTTATCACGAGGTATAATGATTGATATATTAGGCTTGGGATAATATGTGATCCCAGCGTCAATTTATCAGCGTGTTGCATCCCCTCAATCAAAAACAATAATAATACTAATAATAAAGGACACTGATGGATATTTGAAGATGATTCAGTTGATTCTAACAGGAGAACAATGCTTCCCATATAAATATATTAATAGTAATAATTGTAGCATTGATATGTTAATCTTCATAAAAATAGCAGAGAAATAGTTGTGAATACTTGTATCTAATTATAGTTTATAACGACAAAAATAATGCGCGACAACGCCGTAAATAAATATGTCTCAGAATACATTAGGATATATAGGATATATACTGGACGTATGATCTCGCGTGCGCAGTGCAGCGAAGAGATACGGGCATTTACCAGGAGCCGATAATGAGCAAGTGAAGCTAAAATGTGATATGACCATTTTGACTAACAAGCGCTTGGAGAGAAATTGCCCCGATTGAGATTGTGCATAAGAGCAACTATGAATGGATCGTGATAGGCATTAAGTTAGCCTGACATAGGAACATCGTGAATTCGAAATAGGCAAAAATACAAAAGGTACTAAGATCTGGCTGGGAACCTCGGAGTTATGTACTAAGTAACAGTAGCTCAAAACTCCGAGGGAAAATATACTAATAGTGATAATAATCCCAAGGGTAGAAGGAATAAAAAAAATGGTGGAGAAAAGATCAGTTTTAAGGAAGGGGGGAGAGAGAGAGCGTGTTTTTGGCGGGGTGACAAAGAGAGAGAGAGAGAGAGCGTGTTTTTTATGGGGGGTGACAAAGAGAGAGAGAGAGAGAGAGAGCGTTTTTTATGGGGGTGACAGAGAGAGAGAGAGAGTGCTTTTTGGCGGGGGCGACAAAGAGAGAGCGTGCTTTTTGGCGGGGGTGACAAAGAGAGAGCGCGCTTTTTGGCGAGGGAGACAAAGAGAGAGAGAGAGAGGAGGAGGCGAGGGAGACAAAGAGAGAGCGCGCTTTTTGGCGAGGGGAGACAAAGGGAGAGAGAGTGAGGTGAGGGAGAGAGAGGGGAGGTGAGGGAGAGAGAGAGGTGAGGGGAGGGAGAGAGAGAGGGGAGGTGAGGGAGAGAGAGAGAGAGGTGAGGGAGAGAGAGAGAGAGGTGAGGGAGAGAGAGAGAGGAGGTGAGGGAGAGAGAGAGAGAGGTGAGGGAGAGAGAGTGCGAGGTGAGGGAGAGAGAGTGCGAGGTGAGGGAGAGAGAGTGCGAGGTGAGGGAGACAAAGAGAGAGTGCGAGGCGAGGGAGAGAAAAAGACGAGAATAAAGCCGAAGGAGGAGGAAGAGTATGAAAGTGGCTTAAGACAAAAAAAAAAAGAAAGAAGAGAGCGAGTAAAAGACGAAAGAGATCCGATGAAATGAAAAAAAAAGGAGAGAATTTACAAAGAAGAAATATAAAAAAAACCCTAAAAATGCAAAAATACTAAAAAAAACTTAAAAACACTAAGTAAGCCTAAAACTGCTAAACCCATAAAAATACTAACAAACCCTTAAAATGTAACTGCTATAAAATGCGAACAAAGCTCAGAATAAAAAATACGAACAAAAAAAAAAGAAACAATATAAAAGAAAACAGAATAAGATGGTGAGGTTCGAGTTCAAGCTTTTGAAGGGGAGATGGGCAAAAAGGAGCTCAACAAAGCGCAACCCGACGAGAAAAAACAGGTTGCAAATGTGAAAGAGCGAACTCACTTGTTTCAAATTATCTTGCAGTCTTCTGATGTTAATCCTGCCCCTCACAGCCAGTCACCTAACACCACCCACATCTTCCTTCCAACACACTCATACTTCTTCACTACCTATAGATCTGAGCCTCGGTCTCGCCTCTCCTTCGAACTTCTTCACTCAACACCAGTCGTCTTCTTCCTTTTATGGTAGAGTGAGCCTCGATTGAAAGTAAAAGAAAATTTGAAAATTGAAAATTTCTCCTCGAACGCATTGGATAATTACACGCTAGATTTTACATAATTAAGCTTTCGATGTGGGCAATTTTGTTCTCCCTGTTAGCGGCCTGGAGGTGGTTGTTGCTTTTTATTGCCGCTTTTATTGACGTGATGTTGATTATTGCTGTAGTAGTGATTACCATTTTTTTTTCTCATTATAGTCGCCCAATTTTTTTTTTGCTGCCAATTGTTTTACAGCTTTCTTATAGTGATCTTTCACATTTTTTTTCGTCTTCCTTTCCTAACACATCTTTTATTTTCTTCTTCATCCTCATCTACTTATTCACTAATTCTTTCCTCGTTTAAATCTTCTTTCTGAATGTGTTTCATTCTTCTCAAACTTCTATTCTAAATGTTTTAGTTCCTTTTCCACTTCCTCCTCCTCAATTTGCCTTTCTCTACCCTTTCTTTTCAAACCCCTTTTCTCTTCATCCTCTCACGTTTCTTTTCTTTCCCACCTTTTCTCCCACCACAGTCATCTTCCTTTCCTTTTTAGATTCTCTTTATACAACCCCGACGTTTTTCAACCACCTTTTCTCCCACCACAGTCTCATCTTCCTCTCCTTTTTAGATTCTCTTTATACAACCCCGACGTTTTTCAACCACCTTTTCTCCCACCACAGTCTCATCTTCCTCTCCTTTTTAGATTCTCTTTATACAACCCCGACGTTTTTCAACCACCTTTTCTCCCACCACAGTCTCATCTTCCTCTCCTTTTTAGATTCTCTTTATACAACCCTCGTTTTCAACCACCTTTTCTCCCACCACAGTCTCATCTTCCTCTCCTTTTAGATTCTCTTTATACTACCCCGACGTTTTTCAACCCCTTTTCTCCCACCACAGTCTCATCTTCCTCTTTTTTAGATTCTCTTTCTACAACCCCGACGTTTTTTTCAACCACCTTTTCTCCCACCACAGTCTCATCTTCCTCTCCTTTTTAGATTCTCTTTATACAACCCTGACGTTTTTTCAACCACCTTTTCTCCCACCAGTCTCATCTTCCTCTCCTTTTAGATTCTCTTTATACAACCCCGACGTTTTCAACCACCTTTTCTCCCACCACAGTCTCATCTTCCCTCTCCTTTTAGATTCTCTTTATACAACCCCACGTTTTTCAAACCTTTTCTCCCACCACAGTCTCATCTTCATCTCCTTTTTAGATTCTCTTTATACTACCCCGACGTTTTTCAACCACCTTTTCTCCCACCACAGTCTCATCTTCCTCTCCTTTTTTAGATTCTCTTTATACAACCCCGACGTTTTTCAACCACCTTTTCTCCCACCACAAATCTTCCTCTCCTTTTTAGATTCTCTTTATACAACCCCGACGTTTTGTTTTTTCCCAATTACAGTCTCATCTTCTCTTCTAGATTTCTTTATACAACCCCGACGTTTTTTCAACCACCTTTTCTCCCACCACAGTCTCATCTTCCTCTCCTTTTTAGATTCTCTTTATACAACCCCGACGTTTTTTTTCAACCACCTTTTCTCCCAAATCTTCTTCCTCTCCTTTTAGATTCTCTTTATACTACCCCGACGTTTTTCAACCACCTTTTCTCCCACCACAGTCTCATCTTCCTCTCCTTTTAGATTCTCTTTATACAACCCCGACGTTTTTTTCAACCACCTTTTCTCCCACCACAGTCTCATCTTCCTCTCCTTTTTAGATTCTCTTTTGGGAACCCGACGTTTTTCAACCACCTTTTCTCCCCACCACAGTCTCATCTTCCTCTCCTTTTAGGATCTCTTTATACTTGACGTTTTTCAACCACCTTTTCTCCCACCACAGTCTCATCTTCCTCTCCTTTTAGATTCTCTTTATAAACCCCGACGTTTTTCAACCACCTTTTCTCCCACCACAGTCTCATCTTCATCTCCTTTTTTTAGATTCTCTTTAAAACCCCGACGTTTTTCAACCACCTTTTCCCAGCCTTCATTTGACATCTTTCTCTCCTCCTACCGCTTCTCTGTTATATTTCCTTCTTTTAACCCCGGACTCCTTTGATTCTTCTTCTTCTCAGCCTTCTTTTTGTCTTATCCTCCTATCCTATCTTATTTGTCAACCTCATACTTCTCCATTCATATTTCTTCTAATACTATACTGACTCTCGCACAAAACTGAGCCAGCTTATCTCGCAGGTCATTGATAGTAAATTCAAGATTCGCAGAATGCTTAATAATCATTATACAGAAATGTGCTAAACTTCAATTTCTGATCAATTTAACACATTATTTATTGTTTTTTCCCCTAATTACGTTCGTTCTTTTCTAATTTATGAATTTTCAGAATGTTTCACGCGTGGCCAAACTGACAAGTGTCCTTGCTTAATTTCTAAGTGCTGTCAGTTCAATGTTTGAAAAATCAGTGCCGAAAAAATGAGAGAAAATCTTAGGAAATTTGACTGGTCAATACACAGCTATATTTGGATGTAAAATCTGAGTGAATGCAGTTGTGTTATTGTATATGTTAAATGCACAAGAAGGCAACTGATTGAAGGTAATATACTTTCACTTTATTGATTTACAAAAAAGTATAATCATACATGGAAGAGGAAAATGAAAGCGAACAGAATAAGAAAAGTCGAAGATTTCAAGGAAAGAAAAACGGCAAAAACCTATAAAGAATAACAAAAGATAAGAAAAATGTCGAAAAGGAAAAGGGGGAGAGAAAAACAGAGGAAAAGGGGAGAGAAAAACAGAGGAAAAAGGGAGAGAAAAACAGAAAAGGGGACAGAAAAACAGAGGAAAAGGGGACAGAAAAACAGAGGAAAAGGGACAGAAAAAAGAGGAAAAAGGGACAGAAAAAAGAGGAAAAAGGGACAGAAAAACAGAGGAAAAGGGACAGAAAAACAGAGGAAAAGGGGACAGAAAAACAGAGGAAAAGGGGACAGAAAAACAGAGGAAAAGGGGACAGAAAAACAGAGGAAAAGGGGACAGAAAAACAGAGGAAAAGGGGACAGAAAAACAGAGGAAAAGGGGAGAGAAAAACAGAGGAAAAGGGGAGAGAAAAACAGGAAAAGGGGAGAGAAAAGGAGAACAAAAAGGTAAAAGAAAAAGGGCCAAAGAAGAAAGAAAAAGAGAAAAGGGCAAATAAAAACGGAGTAAGGGGAGTGAGAAAAACGGAGTAGGGGGAGTGAGAAAAACGGAAGGGGGAGGAGAAAAAAAACGGGGGAGGAGAAAAACGGAGTAAGGGGAGTGAGAAAAACGGAGTAGGGGGAGTGAGAAAAACGGAGTAGGGGGAGTGAGAAAAACGGAGTAGGGGGAGTGAGCATATACTGAGTGGGAGTAGAAAAACGAGGGTGGGGCATAAAGCAGAAAACACCGGTGAAAGGAAAAAGCAGGAAAGAGGGTGGAACAATTTAAGAACAAAAACACACCTAAAAATAAACTGAATAAAAAGGTAAAAATAAGGAAATTGAGAAAGAAAAGAAGGAAAGTTAAATGAACCCGAAAGAAGATGGAGAAGCAGAATGAATGAACACAGAAGGAAAATCGTTATCGTCGAAGGAAATGGATAAAATAAGACAGAAATAAGCTTAGAAATAAGTTAGGAAAGGACACCTGTATAAAGGCATGAACACGACTCCAATGCAAAAGGTAGATGAATCGCTTATTTGTTTTCATGCTATGTCTCCTGAAGTGGTCATGGCCTAGTTACTTTTCCTTTATTATCTGTAAATATGGACTCAGGTTTTCAACCGACTTCAAGTGGAACGACTACATTGAATCAATATCTGCATCTACTGCAAGGAAAGTTGGGTCACTGTGTTGGGCCAGAAGGTTTTTCTCATCAGAGTTCATTTTGCACATTTACAAATCTACCATTCGTCCGTGCATTGAATACTGTTGCCATATTTTGTCTGGCGCTCTTGCTATTCATCTTGAGGTTCTTGAAAGAATCCAAAGAAGAATCTGTAAGGTAATCGATCCTGATCTGGCATCTCGATTTCAGTCTCTTTCTCACCGGCGTGGCTTCCCTCTGTCTTTTCTATAAATATTTTCATGACAACTTCTCTGACGACCTTTTTTAACCCTTGGTGCCCCGACAACAAGAATTTAAGAATGATACTAGATTGGCATTTAGGTCCTACCCGTTTATTGTTTAAATAGCTAAATGCACTTCTGTTCCAAAAGTTTTTCTCGCACCTTCCGCCTGTGGAAATCCCTCCAATTTGCTTGCTTCCCTGATAAACACAATCATCAAAAATCTAAATGCAACGTCAGTCGCCATCTTCTATCTTCTTGAATCCCGTTCAGTTTTTGTCCTTTCCCCAATCCTCCCTAGACTCAGTCTTTTCTCTCACTTTCACTCCCTGTGAATACCTGCAGACTAGTAACATTTTTGCCTTGCTTGGGGTGAAATGATTTAAAAAAGAAACATGATTTCTTGGGAAATACAAGGAGTGGTTTCCTGTTGCTTTCTGCACGGTTTGGAATTTAGAGTTGTGCTACCTGGGATTCACGGTGAGAAAGCTTATCTTAGCCCACTATTTAACCCATTGCTGGGAGCTTACGAACTACCACCTGTCGCTGCGAAATTCAAGAAAACAAATAGGAATACATATTACTGTAGTGGGATGCTTAAAAATTTAGAGAGTGTGATCTTTGTTGACTGTTTCTTCTTCTACGGCCTTCTTTGAGACGAAACGAAGCTTCGTAAATATTTACTTTGATGTATTGTATCTCCACGAAAGCTAAATCTGACGCAAGGTTGTTTTTAATGTGAAGACCAACGAATTGTGTTTGGCTGATGTGTTCAGAAGATGCACTGATATATCGATTTTCGTTGCTGGCTTATGGATTATTCCCGCCTATTGTCTTTAAATACAACGAAACCGTTCGAAGAGAAGCGTAACCAAGAATGAAACTTCTGTATTTATTATTTATCGATCACGAACAGCCAAAGATCTCCAGTTATGTTATTAAATATGCATCCATTTGTGTTAAAGCAATAGTTCTTTTTCTTTCTTCAGTGGCCCTTTTCAGATATATGCGTACGCTGGAAGCGCCTAGGATAAAAGTGCACTGGTAAATGGAGCATAGTTAAAACATACAGCATTATTACGGCGCTTTTGTAATGTAATATTATACAAGTGTCAATCCCACAAAATTCTAGGCGAATCCATGAATCTCACGCGCTAATACTCTTGGGAAAAGTATGGATCTTATTCTTCTCCCACTAGGAGTGTAGAGCCTTGTATGGCAACTGGTCTACCGCAGAATGAAATGGCAACTTACTGCGGGAAAGAAGCTCAAGTAGAGAAACGAATGAAAAAAACGAAAAGGTCAAGTCGAGAAACGAATGAAAAAAAAAAACGGGAAAGGTCAAGTCAAGAAAGGGGAAAAGGAAAAAAGTAAAAAAAAAACGAAAAGGTCAAGTACAGAAAAAAGGAAAAAAAAGTAAAAAAAAAAAGGAAATATATCAAGTAGAGGAAAAAAAAACGGAAAAGGTCAAGAGAGAGAATGAAAAAAAAAAAACGAAAAGATCAAGTAGAGGAAAAAAAAAACCGAAAAGGGTCAAGTCGAGAAGAGGAAAAAAAAAAAAGGGAAAAGATCAAGTAAACGAATGAAAAAAAAAAAAAAGATCAAGTAGAAACGAAAAAAAAAAAAAAAAACGGGAAAGGTCAAGTAGAGGAAAAAAAAGGGAAAGATCAAGTAGAGGAAAAAAAGGAAAGATCAAGTAGAGGAAAAAAAGGAAAAGATCAAGTAGAGGAAAAAAAAAAGAAAGATCAAGTAGAGGAAAAAAAAAGGGAAAATCAAGTAGAGGAAAAAAAAGGGAAAGATCAAGTAGAGGAAAAAAAAGGGAAAGATCAAGTAGAGGAAAAAAAAGGGAAAGATCAAGTAGAGGAAAAAAAAGGGAAAGATCAAGTAGAGGAAAAAAAAGGGAAAGATCAAGTAGAGGAAAAAAGGGAAAGATCAAGTAGAGGAAAAAAAAGGGAAAGATCAAGTAGAGGAAAAAAGGGAAAGATCAAGTAGAGGAAAAAAGGAAAGATCAAGTAGAGGAAAAAAAGGGAAAGATCAAGTAGAGGAAAAAAAGGGAAAGATCAAGTAGAGGAAAAAAAGGGAAAGATCAAGTAGAGGAAAAAAAGGGAAAGATCAAGTAGAGGAAAAAAAGGGAAAGATCAAGTAGAGGAAAAAAAAGGGAAAGATCAAGTAGAGGAAAAAAAGGAAAGATCAAGTAGAGGAAAAAAAAGGAAAAGATCAAGTAGAGGAAAAAAAGGGAAAGATCAAGTAGAGGAAAAAAAGGGAAAGATCAAGTAGAGGAAAAAAAGGGAAAGATCAAGTAGAGGAAAAAAAGGGAAAGATCAAGTAGAGAAAAAAAGGGAAAGTAGAGAAAGAAAGAAGGTCAAATAGAAAAATAAATGCAAAGTATAGAAAAATAAGTGAAGAACGAAGAGATTAAAAAATGAAAAAGAGGATCAGAAAAAGTCAAATAAATACCATCAAAAGAAGCCAAGAAGAACAACAAAAAAATAAGCAATAAAATGCTGAAAAAATAAACAAAAAAACTGTTGCAAAACAAGTTAAAATGAAAATCGAAATAAAACGCAAGCAGAAGAAAGCGGGAAATATGCTTTTTTCGAAAGAGTGTCAGCTGTGACTAGACTTAAAAATTCTAAGCGTAAACGGGTAACAGGAAACGTAAAGAATATTATGAAACGAGATAGAGTCTAATGGCATTAAATAGAATCGAAATTCTCACATCTGCGTTCGGGATTTTGTGCTCATTCTATTTTGTTGAGTAATGGAAGGTGTAATAGCTTCTCTTTCATATTTCTTCTCTTGGGCTGTAACACCGCGAATTATTCTCTGTTAAACCTAAGTTCTATATTTTGTATTTTAAAGACAGATAAAAAAAAAAATGGAGGAAACATCACTTGATGGTGTTAGTTTAGAATAACTATGCTTAGGTAAACATTTTCACGGCATCAACGTCTAAAAAGCAAAGTTGTATACAAAATTCCTTCGTTTTTTTTTTTTAGCGTGAATCGAACCATAATTTCG